GAGGTACATTGAAATTCAAAGGTCAGCACAAATGGTCAAAATCCGACATTTTCTCACCTTTTTGCCCGTTCGAAGCTCAGAAAATGACAATGACCACCCTCTTCTCCTTTTGTAGCTGGACATAGACAAGTGCACCAAGAAAAACAGCCATCTTTCTCTAAAGAACTCGCCCAGGGCTGCCGAAAGCTCAAAAATAACCTATCTCACAGTTTGGGGCTTTTTACCCGTGAATCTTCCCTTTGCGACTAAACTATTCACAGCAGCGCCAAATTTTCTGGGTCACTGAATGTGGGTGCCAGCGGCCTCCAAGCAAACCGAAAATCAAATCAATAAGACCATTGACAATGCAGCTGGGTCATGTTATGGAGAGGTACATTGAAATTCAAAGGTCAGCACAAATGGTCAAAATCCGACATTTTCTCACCTTTCTGCCCGTTCGCAACTCAGAAAATGACAATGAACATCCTCAACTCCTTATGTAGCTGGACATAGACAAGTGCACCAAGAAAAACAGCCACTTTTCTCTAAAGAACTCGCCCAGGGCTGCTGAAAGCTGAAAAATAACCTATCTGACAGTTTGGGGCTTTTTACCCGTGAATCTTCACTTTGCGAATAAACTATTTACAGCAGTGCAGAATTTTCTAGATCACTGAATGTGGGTGCCAGCGCCATACAAGCAAACCAAAAATCAAATCAATGCGACCACTGACATTACAGCTGGGTCATGTTATAGAGAGGTACATTGAAATTCAAAGGTCAGCACAAATGGTCAAAATCCGACATTTTCTCACCTTTCCGCACGTTCGCAGCTCAGAAACAGACAATGACCATCCTCATCTCCTTGTGTAGCTGGACATAGACAAGTGCACCAAGAAAAACAGCCACAATTCTCTAAAGAACTCGTCCAGGGCTGCTGAAAGCTCAAAAATAACCTATCTCACAGTTTGGGGCATTTTACCCGTGAATCTTCACTTTGCGACTAAACTATTCACAGCAGTGTCAAATTTCCTGGGTCACTGCATGTAGGTGCCAGCGCCATACACGCAAACCAAAAATCAAATCAATGCGACCACTGACATTACAGCTTGGTCATGTTATAGAGAGGTACATTGAAATTCAAAGGTCAGCACAAATGGTCAAAATCCGACATTTTCTCACCTTTCTGCTCGTTTGCAACTCAGAAAACGACAATGAACATCCTCAACTCCTTGTGTAGCTGGAAATAGACAAGTTCACCAAGACAAACAGCCACATTTCTCTAAAGGACTCGCCCAGGGCTGCTGAAAGCTCAAAAGTAACCTATCTCACAGTTTGGGGCTTTTTACCCGTGAATCTTCACTTTGCGATTAAACTATTTACAGCAGTGCAGATTTTTCCAGGTCACTGAATGTGGGTGCCAGTGCCCTACAAGCAAACCAAAAATCAAATCAATGCGACCACTGACATTACAGCTGGGTCATGTTATAGAGAGGTACATTGAAATTCAAAGGTCAGCACAAATGGTCAAAATCCGACATTTTCTCTCCTTTCTGCCCGCTCACAGCTCAGAAACAGACAATGACCATCCTCATCTCCTTGTGTAGCTGGACATAGACAAGTGCACCAAGAAAAACAGCCTCATTTCTCTAAAGAACTCGCCCAGGGCTGCTGAAAGCTCAGAAATAAAACAGTTTGGGGCTTTTTACCCGTGAATCTTCACTTTGCGACTAAACTATTCACAGCAGTGTCAAATTTTCTGGGTCACTGCATGTAGGTGCCAGCACCCTACACGCAAACCAAAAATCAAATCAATTCGACCACTGACATTACAGCTGGGTCATGTTATAGAGAGGTACATTGAAATTCAAAGGTCAGCACAAATGGTCAAAATCCGACATTTTCTCACCTTTCTGCCCGTTCGCAACTCAGAAAACGACAATAATCATCCTCAACTCCTTGTGTAGCTGGACATAGACAAGTGAACCAAGAAAAACAGCCACATTTCTCTAAACAACTCGCCCAGGGCTGCCGAAAGCTGAAAAATAACCTATCTGACAGTTTGGGGCTTTTACCCGTGAATCTTCACTTTGCGACTAAACTATTCACAGCAGTGTCAAATTTTCTGGGTCACTGCATGTGGGTGCCAGCGTCCTACAGGCAAACCAAAAATCACACCAATGCGACCACTGACATTACAGCTGGGTCATGTTATAGAGAGGTACATTGAAATTCAAAGGTCAGCACAAATGGTCAAAATCCGACATTTTCTCACCTTTCTGCCCGTTCGCAGCTCAGAAACAGACAATGACCATCCTCATCTCCTTGTGTAGCTGGACATAGACAAGTGCACAAAGAAAAACAGCCACTTTTCTCTAAAGAACTCGCCCAGGGCTGCTGAAAGCTGAAAAATAACCTATCTGACAGTTTGGGGCTTTTTAACCGTGAATCTTCAGTT